TATATATATAACCATGAATGTGGTTTTGACCCTGCTTTAAACCTGCTGCTGCAGGCTCTTTAGTATTTAACAGCAGACAAATGTTTAACTGCACATATGTGTGTAAATTTCGTGCTGCACTTCTATGTGTCCATCACTTCTTGTRTGAGTGCACTGTACCGTTTAAGAAAGGTTAATGAAAGGTTTAATTCCACTCCATAGCACAGTTGACAGAGAGAGTCTGCCCATAATTCYATCTCATTCCCCATTCACATATCTAGATGTCAAAACATATGGAACACACACAACCTGGCTCAGTCTCGTTTTTGTGCGTAGCGAGAGGTGCTTTTTTTGCTAATCGCCATCAACCCTCCTTACTTTCTCGCTCTTTCGGCATCCCTCTACTCATGACTCGCACGCTCCTTCGTTTCCCATCTGCACATCCACTCTGACCCACAATTGTCTGTCTATTTTTGGGATTGTCTGATTAGGGGCCAGATGTGCAGACTGGGTCTGGCAGCAGCAGAGGTCTGCGGGGTGGAGGAGGAGTGGAGGGACAGAAAGAGAGGGGAGGCGGAGGGGGGTTTTAATCTGTTCGCCACTAGGCTGTAATCACGCGCCGGGCTTCATAAGGTGGGCGGGTGGGAGCGGGGTCTTTGTAAGGCCGGCCTTGAGCTGCCTGCGGTGTGTACCAACAGGCCCATCTTGGAGCACAGTGTGTGAGCATGCGTGTGCTCTTGTGTGCACTTGGAGTGTGATTGCAGCATTTGCCCTGCTGTCTGTGTGGTTAACCTCATAAAAGTACAAAGAGAGCAGAGGAATGAGGGTCAGTCTTAAGTAAAGAAGAGTCTGTCCTAGATAACACATTATTCAACACTGCCATATATCATTACCTTACAGAAAACTGCTGGAATTTTCTTATTTATGCCACTTTCTTGTTGGCGGTTACAGCAGCTGTTTTCTCACCTTGTTCTGGTCACAATTTTTTGTTTATTTATTACCACAAACCTAACACCACTTGTGACCTATAAAAATAAGAGCATGTACACAGTTAAAGCAAGAGGTCCCACAGAGAGTCACACTCTTGTTTGTTTGAAAAACATAGAATAAAATAAAAATTTGGTTAGAGTCTGAATCAGTGCTTGTATTATTTATTCCCAAACAGACATAATGCAGCAACTACACAACACAGCCAATCTCTATTTCAATTCAATTTCTAGTGTATGGAGAGCCGTTTTAGCCAAAATTAAACAAATAAATTAAAAATTGGGTTCATGAAAAAGCTAAGTTATTTATTTAACAAATTTTTAATTTATTTCACTCATTTTCTTCATTTYTTGATTTATTTTGCTCATTTTTTTATTTATTTCACCCATTTATTTATTTATTTAATTTTGGCTAAAACGGCTCTCCATACTAGTGTTCTATTAATTTAATGACAAATTAAAAGAAAAAAATACATAAGCAAAAAAAGAAGACACATGTATATGTGTGTGTTTTCATTTTGCATGACCGCAAAGAAGATCTGATTCACAGAATATCAGCTATTGTTTTAGCAGATGGTGGGTTTTCACATTAGCTTCATTAAGTTGATTTCCAACCAGCTGCATGGTGTGTGTGTGTGCATATTCACTGCWGAAAGACAGCAACAGAGCTGTGTGTGTATGCAGAGTTGGCCTTTTTCTGTTGCAACATTACTGAGTATTTTTTTCAGCTGTGGATCAAAATGGTCATTTTAAGCACAAAAATTCAACTAGTAATGATCAATTCAATTGTGTTTGGGTCACAAGCAATTGCTGAATTTAAGATAAAAAATATATAATAATTTTATTAATTGTGTCAAATTTTAAATGGCTAAAGGCTGAGAGGTTTTAATCTCTGGCATACATCTGTACATATTTTGAATATTTATATGCTTTCCATAAAAAAGGCTTTAATATTAAAGCTGAAATTAAAAACWTTCCACACATGCTACAGCTTGTCGCGGTCTGCCTCTCTGCTGTGTATTTGGTTCATTGAGTGTATTTTCCTTGACTATTTCCTTTTTTTGTTTGTTTCTGTGTTCTGATTTCTTCTGTGATTTCCAGTGTCATCAGTTTAGTTTTTCCGACCTGTCTCTGCCCTGGTCCCGCCCACTCTCACCTGATCCTCATTGTCTCTCCCCAGGTGCACCTCATTGTTACCTCGTTAGTATCCCTCTAGATTTTGTCTCCTGTTCTTAAAGGGATCCACGATTAGTTGTAACATTAAACTTTATTTGATAAACATTTATCTTAACTGTAAAATAAAGACTGTAAAAATACTGTAGGCTGTTCAGTTTTGTAAATTTTTTAAAATTTATTTTAACACGGACGGAACCATTTTATTTACACGCAAAGCATTCTGGGTAAATGATGACATCAACTAGGTCATTGGTGCGAGGCTGCTAGCGAGATATATCCACCCTGAAGGTTAATCTTTTACAATATCTGACGATTGGCTCTTTTAAATGAAACCAGAGAGCGTTGACAGAGAGAAGATAGAAATGACTCAGCCTGTCATGCAGATTTTCTTTTAAACTTTTAGTTTAAAAATGATAAAAAATGAACATCCTACAGTATTTTTACAGTCTATTTTACAGTTAAAGTATATGTTTATCACATAAAGTCCAATGTTACAACTAATCGGGGATCCCTTTAATTTGTGTTTTGTCGACCATGACCACTTATGTTTGCACCACGGTGGCTGTTCCAGGTAAATTCTTCCTCTAAGTACTTTTGCTGCCACCTCAGCCAGTTCTTTTGTTTGTTAAAAGTTTG